TTAAGGGCTTACATAGAAATATATATATATATATATTATATAGCTTAGGATTTCCCGAAATTACCTCTACCTTTTTGGGGGGGTTACTTATGATAAAGATTATCGTATTTTGTTATCTATTTTTATCCCTATGTAACCCTAGAGAACCCTTTGCTGGCAAGCAACAAGTAGACCACAGGCGCTATCGCTGAACTGGGTCCTCTCACTCCTGGACCAATACCCAATGGCCAGCCGGTGATTCGTGTGGTCCCCAATATGGGGTCACATGGAGATATACACAGGGTTTTTAGGGCTTATTTAGGGCTTGTTGCATAGGGCTAAATGGGGACATGCAACACCAAGAACGGAGAATCAAATGGAAAAGAGAATGGAAAATCAAATGGAAACTGGGAGTCTGCTTCCCTGCGCCCCCCCAGACCCCACAACAAAAATGAAGTAACAAAAATAGGCAATAAGCAATCTATGATATTATGGGGAACCAACTCCCTGGCTACGTACATGACTCAGTGCCCTGGTTATCAGACTCACCTGGGCCATTGCTGCTAAGCCGAGTGGCTCCAGGTCGTAGTAGTAGCAGGCCATCTGACCTGGAGGGCGTGAGTAGAGTCCCTGCGGAACTTACGGTGCCCGCGAACTTACGCAGTATTGTAGGGATAGGGTGGTTATATAGGGATTAAATCGGGATACTATGACGGTAATAAAAGGTATATGTTACATATTGGGTTCTTAAGTAGGCTCAAGGAGGAAAGCAGCGGCATCGAAACAAATCTCTCTCAAAGAAATGGCTAGTCGGACGGAATCCCGTTGACGCGTTGATCGCCAAGACGCCACCACCGGCGTCATGCTCAAATGGCCCCAGGAGACCTTGCTTTCGCTATGCCGAGACCCTGTTCAGCCACCCTTTGATGCAAATGGTAAATGACTTTGCATCAGATTCCATATGATGCAGGGTTTTCATTTAAGGTCTGGGCAACTGGTCAATGGAAAATTGGTGAGTGTGTTA